GCTTGAGGAACAAGGAGTTAACTTTTGCTGGTAAAAAAAATGTACTAGTTATCTATACGCAAGATAGAACAATGATCGATAGTACTGAGAATGGGTACTAGTTATCTATACGCAAGATAGAAGTAGAACAATGATCGATAGTACTGAGAACAGGTACTTCGTCCATGTCTACCATCAGTGGTGCATACACATGGGACATGAAATTCAAATGCCTTAGTGTCGTAACGTTTGTACAACATAAGAAAATTAAAAAAGTAGACACCAAGATGTCTACTGTGCCTATGTAGGTACATAAACATGGATGCAAACATGTGTAGAAGAAAATGCATGCTCTCATATTTAATGGAGCAATAAGTCCTCATAGCACTATTTAACTATCATCATGCAGTAAACAAATGACAAGAGTTATGATGTCATTGGAGTAAAAAACATAGTCATTAATACTTCTTGTTTCTATTCTTCCCCTATGATTCCCGTTTTCTGTCCAAGACCCATATCGGAGTCATCAGACATGGTATTCCAATTGCATTGCCAAGTCAAATCTCCAATACCGCAAAATCTTGTAAACTGAAGTGTCCAGGAAATGTTTTCTACCACTAGTACGTGTGTAAATCATATGCCAGAGTCTTAATGTGTCAGCACCTTAAAACATTAAGGACACTAAAAAACGCTTGTAATCTATCAACCTAACATGCCAAAGAATATAAACTTTTCTACTCTAAGCTAACCCTTCATATGAAAGACCTCAAGTCATAGCCAGGTGAAGTAAATATCTAACTAAAGTTTCTTAGAAACAAAGCAGAAAGACATATTTGTAGACATAGTTGCCCGCCTATGAATATAGCTACAGTATAGTGCCAAAGTTCAGAAGTTACATGTGTCTGACACTTCAAGACACTTAGATACCCCTACCCTATGTCCTTCCTCTACGAACACGTTTAAACTAACTTTTATGCATACAACTCTCATGCAAAGAAACTATCCTGTTACTCAGGGAATGGCAGTGCATAATCCTTGTCAATTTGGTGGTCACCTACATACATCTCAGCATCTTTCAGGCATACATGCAAGCAGGTCACGTAAACTTGTTTTCTAACCTCCTACGAAAGAAGAGATTTGCTAGTATTATACAGTTGTAGCAATTGCACTGCATGAGATAAGCCCAGACTAGTAGCTGGAGCTAATGAACTATACTGCTGGTTCATTTACAGAAAAAACGAGCAGCGCTACACTTAAAGAAACTTAACTAACATCTAACCAAAGCGCAAATGGAAAAATACTTACCAAGAAAAAAGGCCTACTAGTAGCTTTAGTTGCATGCAACTCAATTACTACTTAACAAACAGACCCCAAATTGATAACTTAAATACAGCTTAACCAAACAAGTGAGCAGTGCACTAAAACAGCTAAAAATAAAATCAAGTACCATACTCGTATTTAGAAGAGGTTCTGTAATGTTGCCATTACGGTACTCCAGCCCTTGCCCAAATGACTCCACTTGCTGCACCAGCTTCTTCCAGTTCATAGAATTTGATTCATTTGTGGGACTGTCAGGGATTTTAAATAAAGACTCTAGCACCTTTTGCTGAAGAGCTGGATTTATATCTCTCGACCTGGAATGGGGTTGCTCCTCAGTATTAACAAGATGACTATTGTTGTCCCTACAATGAAACCAAAACATTAACATGTTTTGCAGGAAAAGAATAAGAATTTATCAATACATCCCCTTGTTGCATAAAACAACTATGTCTTCAGGTCAAACACTCTGGTATTAAGAGCATGTTTGCCTGTTTGGGAACTGACTTATAATCCACTTAAATTGTAATCCATTTGTGCATTATAATCCAAAGTATTCAGTAAATTTAGTGGATTATAGTCTGTTTTCAAACTTTACATGTTTGACAAATTAGCGGATTATAAGCTACCATTGTTGTCAAAATGACCAAAAAGGACATGACTCTGAATTTAAGCATTACAGCACTCATTAATACAATTTTTTCATAAGGGGTAAAATTGCTTTTACTTGGTCAAACTTCATGAATTACAACCACCAAAAAATAAGCTAGGGTACCGTAGCTTATCTTTTTGGTGGATTATAATCCAAAATAATCCACTCACAAAAAGCCCAAAAAATAATCCACCAAAAATAATAAAAAATAATCACGATTAGCATTTGGGGAATAAGTTAACGGATTTGATTGGGTTTCAAAACATTGGGCAAAGCATTTAAAATATGTAGATCAAAAACTGACATTATGGACTTTTCCATTTGACTTGTAGCATTTCTTGTTTTGCTATCAAGATTTGAGTTCAAGTTGTCCTTGTACCATGGCGTTCCCTCGCACCTTTCATATTAGTCGTGTGTGCAGCTGTGTTAAAAAATTATCAATATCACATATTATGCATGGTGTAACAAGGAAATTGAACAGTTAATGCACAAAAAACTATATAATTTCAAGTAGTCTATACAAAACATAACATATATTATTTCTGTTTACCATGTCATGATTTGACAGATTCACTTACCATGTTGTCCAGAACAAATTTTCCTTAGACCAGATCGATGACTAATTACAGCCTATATCTACCAATATACGATGTGCAAAAACATAGCTTTTACCAAGGACAAATTTTCTTTAGAAGCTGCAGATACATAAACTTTATCATATAAATTTTTATTTTCTAATAAATATATAACATGTAACTAGTAAAAAAATACCTCGCCTATAGAATTGTTGCTTTTAAATTTAGGGTTTTTTTGTCTTTTACCCCAAAGTTTTACTCCAACTTATGTTTAAACCCATGCACTTATAAAATGCCTCTTAAACCTAAAAATACAAAGATCACTTATTTTTAAACCCAATTCTTCATAATACGTATAAGTATACATTATATACATATTAAAAACTCAATATCCTCATATTACCCTCTTCTTCATTCTCTCTTCTACTCTCTGCTCCCTTCCAAACAACTTTTCACCATCCCATTAATCACCGATCTCCTCCTCTACTCCCCAACTTACCCCTTGACTCTCTTTCCTCCTAATTGAGCTTTATGTTCTTCCTCCTATCACTCCTCCACTTCCTCCACAAAAGACTTCATCATGAAGCTTACATGCGACATCAAGCCCACCAGCTTTCCCTCCACTCTATGGCCAACAAGCACAAACACTTCAAGCTCGTCCTCGACTGCCGACTGCTCCGACCAACTCTCTTCCATCCTCTATCTTGACTTTAACCGTTCAACGAGGTCCTTGCTTAAAGATCAGCTCCACCACATTTGCTTACAGTCTCAAGATTACTTTTATGTTGGATTGAATTAGACTTTGAATTTAAGGTTTGGAATGCGAATATGTATAGACAGATTTTTGTATATTGTGTGTTTGATAAAATGCTTCAAAAAGATTTTTAGTTGATTTGTAATATTTAACAGGATTATGTGTATTAAATAGAATTTATTTGATGCATATTACATGTTTGACTAAATGCTTTAAGAAGTTTTTTGGTCGATTTGTATCATTTATAAAGATTATATAGCAAGTCGTCAATCGCCAATGGAGTTTATGAATGATATAGAACTCATAACGAGTAATCTGTTGTTCTGAAAGGGCTATAACTCTTTATGATACACTGTAGTTCTTATGATATATTGTAGCTCTTTATAACAAAAGTATAGCTCTTTAATGAAAAACGTAGCTCTTTATGGACAAAATAATAGCTTTTTTATGAGAAATGTGTAGATGTTTATGTGAAAAATAAAGAGCTATACTTTTCCACAAATCAGAAAATTAAGAGTGAACCTCTCTTCGACATGAATTATTGATCAAACAACACATTATATACATCATCACACGTTTACATTGTTAAAAAAAACTAATTTGATTTATTCCAATAAGTTTCAGAATTTCTAGAGACCGTAAAGAGCTATAGTTTATCAGTAAAGAGCTATGCTATGCTCATAAAGAGCTATATTTTGGCATAAAAAGCTATACCTTCATGATAAGGTGCTACATTACTACAAAGAGCTAAACTTTTTCAAAAAGCTAAAAATTTGAGTGGACTTCTCATTGACATGAATAATTAATCAAACAACATATTGTCTACATCATCACATATTTACATTGCTCACAAAAAATAAATTTAATATATTCCACTAAGTTTTAGAATTTCTAGAGACCATAAAGAGCTATACTTTGTCAGTAAAGAGCTATGCTATAGTCATAAAGAGCTATGCTTTAGCATAAAGAGCTATATCTTCATAATAAGATGTTACACTTTAGTATACAGAGCTATACTTTTTCAAAAATTAGAAAATTGAGAGTGAACCTCTCGTGGACATGAATAATTGATCAAACAACACATTGTCTACGTCATCACACATTTACATTGCTCAGGAAAAAACTAATTTGATTTACCACTAAATTTCAGAATTTGTAGAGACCATAAAAAGCTATACTTTATCAGTAAGGAGCTATACTATGGTCATAAAGAGCTATATTTTAACACAAAGAGCTATACTTCCATGGTAAGGTGCTAAGCTATACTATAAAGAGTTATACTTTTCTAAAAATTGGAAAATTGAGTGTACCTCTCATCGACATGAACAATTGATCACACAACACAATAGATCTTTCAAAAGAGGATTGGGGCACAGAAGCAGTTGTGGTTCCCATTCATGCGGAGTTCTTCGCGAGCGCTAGCGCTATGTTGTTCACTTTTGTCAACTGAAGTCGCACGTAGCGCCAACTAACTTGATTGCAGATAGAGCGTACATCATCAAATGTTTACATTACTCAGAAAAAATTGATTTGATTTATTTCACTAAGTTTTAAAATTTTCAGAGGCGATAATGAGCTATACTTTATCAATAAAGAGCTATACTACGGTCAGAAAGAGCTATAGTTTTATGATAAGGTGCTACACTTTAGTATAAAAAGCTATACTTTTTCAAAAACTAAAAAATTGAGTGGACCTCTCGTCGACATAAATAATTGATCAAACAACACATTGTATACATCATCACATGTTTACATTACTCAGAAAAAACTGACTCGATTTATTCTACTAATTTTTAGAAATTTCAAACCATAAAGAGCTGTGTTTTATTAATAAAGGGCTATACTATGATCATAAAGAGCTATATTTTGGCGAATAGGTGGTCAAAAAAGGTGGTTCGTCGGAGCATTTGGGGCTCGGTGGAGAGAAAATACGTCACTGTCTCCAAGCCTCCAGCTTGAATAGCTCTGAAGAATTTGTGCTTGTCACTTGACCGAGCGCATGTTAGAGACTGGCTCATTTTCGCCGCCACTGCCGGAGCTCCGTTTTGACGCATGATAAAGCCGAAGGGTATTTCGCAATTGGAGAGTCTAGGGAATAGGGGAGATGAGAGTCTAAAAGAATTCATGTTGGTTGCTCTTAGATTTTGATTTTGTGAGACGAATGAAGGAAAAAAGGAGAGTTTATCTAAGGAAGAAGGTTAATTTTGGAATTTTGTATTTATTGGGGAAATAGAGTACAATGATAGAAGGTATTGTATAGATTGGGTTTAAAAATAAGTGATTTGGGGTACACTGGCCTTATAAGTGTTCATAAAAGTTGGTGGGTCTTTAAATAAATTGGGGTAAAACTTTGAGTTAAAAGACAAAAACCTCTTAAATTTATTGCATCTGAAATGCATAAAACTGTTGTGGAGTCAAACGCATCTATACACACAGTTTGTATAGCAAGAAAGTACTTGTTTACTAGATATATAATTTTGGAAACAGTTTAGGTTCTGCTTGCTTGGAATCTCAAAACAGGACTTTGAAATATGTCATATGAAGGAAACAAAGTAATTTGGTTTCCCTGTAATTAGTAGATCTCCAATTACAATATATATATATATATATATACCGCAGACACTTCATTCATGAAGCCGCATATACATATTGTTTACCAAATAAAAATACTACTTCTTCTTGAACATGTGTCGAACACTTCTCAAAATTTTCAGCATTTTCATAATATATTGTCATTTGGGAAACTTTAACACAAATTGCACTTCTTGCATTTTAGACACTTTTCAAGTATTTTTTTCAACATCAGCGCTTGTTTCCGTATGCATTTACTTTCAGTTTGATTTTAAAGCCTATAACTTAGTAGGCAAAGGGTGTAATATATCAGATCGACTCACTAAGCTATTCCTTATAAACTGCAGATTAAATTTATTACTTATAGAAAAATAAGAGTTACCATATTATCAGATACTTGTCACTTGTGAGTGCACACTTGCATGTGTAGCCACACGTACTTGTCTCAATTTCTATTGCGTTAGAATCCAGACTCCACTATATTTAAAAGAGACATATCATCTAAAATTTTGGGGTTGCCCCACACCTTTAATTACATTATACATCCAACAAATAAGGTAGCGGTGAAATTTAATTGGATCCAACAACACAAATGGAATTGCAATCTATTAGATTTCACCCTAGCGATTTCAAGAAACAAAAAAAAACATGGTTTCCAATTGCATCTTCTGATAATGGAATTCTGAAATCATGACTGCAAGTGATACCAAATGGAATTTATTCTAACGATATTTTCTGTATGTATTCCAGTATGCAGTACATGATGAACAGTGTCGATTTTCATATTAGACATCATTATTTTGGAAAACATGTTAAGACATATATATGGCACACTTATCAGTCAAAGTCATAGATACACATCGCTGCCTAGATGTTGAAAATGTATTAGTATATTCAATTATTACAAGTTATAATAAATTTTATCGTGTTATATATTTTTTTTCTTGTTGGAAACAAGAGTACACAAGTTTCTTTACATCACCCACCTAACCATTAGGCATGTGAGTCCCGTCATAGACACACTGATTAATTGTAAACAGAGAACCCGCTTGAGGTAGGAACATCAAGGATAGACTAAATCAATCTTGCAAGTTGCAACTAACAACTTGTGCACAATCTCTTTGGAATGTATTAGTATATTCAATTATTACAAGTTATAATAAATTTCATCATGTTATATATTTTATTTCTTGTTGGACACAAGAGTACACAAGTTTCTTTACATCACCCACCTAACCATTAGGCATGTGAGTCCTGCCATAGACACGCAGATTAATTGTAAAGAGAGAACCCGCTTGAGGTAGGAACATCAGGATAGACTAAATCAATCTTGCAAGTTGCAACTAACAACTTGTGCACAATCTCTTTGGCATTTCCCCCATTCCCAAAGCTAGTGTACTAACAATCTTTGGAGATTGTAACTTATTGAAAAAGCCTATTGAAATCAACAAAGCATGGCTATAGAGTCTCAGGTATTGAGCACACAAAAAAAGGGATGAAATAAGGGTTCTGGAGGGTCTATCCTTAATATATCGGACAACACCTGGAACTCCTTCACAGTAAAGCTTGCATATATGTGAAACCACTTCTATAAATTACAGAGAATATATTTAAAAATAATAAAGACCAGAGTTAGCTCACCTGCAACCATATCCCGCATACTGTAGGATGTCATTTTCTTTTTCAGATGGATGATATGTCGAGTCTGATGTCTTATCTGTAATCTGTGACAAATATACACAATACAGGAGTGCATTAAGGCTCATGAGTTTTGTTGAATGAACAGGTGACATGCTCAAAACTGTGAGTTAACAAGAAACACAAAGATAAATAGACAGCTTAATCAAGTTGTTATCCATAACTATCCAAACAAGACAAAGGCATCTATGGTGGTAGGGGTAACATGCAATACAAGAACAAGCCAAATTTCCATTGTTCTCAACAAAACTTATATTTATAGATGCAACACCACCAAATTCGCTAAACCAGAGTTTCGAGTGTTGACTTTGGTCAATGATGTTAGCCAACTTAACCTGGAATTGTACACAAAGCCAATCATAAGTAATGCTTTCACAATTTTGAACCCTCTGAAGATACAACAGTAGCTATATTTACTGTTACAGCTGCTAATCAACCAATCGTTTAGCTATAGAATAAAAAGATTACTCAAACACAGAAAAAACAGGATATCTCACCGAATATGTGAAATGAAGAAATAGAGTGAAACATAAAACAGAATAAGGCGTCGGAAAATAAAAAGCTTAACAAGCACCTGATATGAATAAATGTCATTCTCTTGAGATGCTCCGCTTGATAATTCAGCAAATTTAAATGAATAATTACCATGATCCCTCTTCATAGATTGATTGTAAGATGAAGATATATCAAGCAAAGCATCCAAGGCCTGAAAAATAACACAGAAAAATCTTGTAAATTGATGTTAATTCTGAAATTCAGATGCTTCATGGTAAGAAAATAATAAATCATAATTCAGCATGCCATTACCCCTGCAGTACTTTCCTGAAACAGTCTGATTCGATGTAAACAAATTATTCCAAATAATGAATGAAATCACCTACCGAAGTACTAACAAAAATTTCACCTTCATTCTGAGAATTACAGAATAAATAGATGATACATGAAATGTTTGCTATTTCGTTCATAAGAATAATAGACAAACGATTTACACATAAAGAGAGTAGGACTGTAGGGTAAACCAAAAAAGATTAACACATGTGATCACAATATCTGTGAAAATAAAAGTATTAGAGGTCAGTATCCTAAATTAAAAAGTATTTTATAAGATAACACAATTAATTGAGAGAAATGTTGGATACAGGAACTGACATACTCGTGGTTATAACTTGCCAACGTAACAATGTGAAAGAAGGCAATACAGATTTTATTTCAGGACAAACCCTATGCCAATACATTTTCTATGTGTTACTGACAATGACATAGATACAAGGCAACAGTTTCAAGGTGCAGTCTTCTCATGGCTTGTAGATATTATAATTCTCTATTAGAACAATTGAGAAGATTTTTGAAACAAAGTACTAGTTAGTCTCAGTAAGTAGAAGGCAACTTTCAGAAGAAAAATAAAATCTATGATAACAATGGGTTTCTTTTTTCATGGAACAAGTTGGTCGGTTAAAGTTTAACCTTCTCATAACGGAAAATATAACATGCTAAAAGAAATTGGTGGCAACTGCCAAATTTTTTCTGATGACGTTAAACAAAAAAAGAATCAGCAGATAGCTCTTCTTCGACGAGATAAACAATCAAAGGAGTTCTTGTATGAATCTACAGTTTGAGCGGTCAAGTCTGAACGCATATAAAACTAAAGACTGGCTAACAAATAATATATATAAGGTCGATGAGGAATCAGAGGAAGTCCTAGAGACTGCATGGACTGGATGTACAAGGCCTGTGCAGGCAAACAGATTTAACCATATGCCATGAAAATCAGATAAGACACAGAAGAGGAATAGAATAAGGGTTAGGCTAGTAGAACAGAATTGAAATAAATAAATAAGCGCAAAAAAATTTAAAATGGCTTAACTAAATAGTAGAAATAGCCAAGGTTCAAAAATATAAGACAAGAACTATAAACCTGATCTCAGAGTGCTTGGTCATACAGACTTCGATCTGACAGATAAAAACAAATCCATCATCTCACAATCAGGTTTGACGGGTGTCACAAATTACATGGGAGCCTTCCAACTAACATACACTTACAGCCGAAAACTAGAAACAAGTTAGGATATTGGCATATGGATTTAGTATGCAAATGTTTCTTTCCACTTAATAACTTCAGTCACAAGAAAATTTTTTCCAACAAGTAAGAACATTAAAACAGCAAATTAGGGTGTTTTTTTTTTATTGGGGGTGGGGGGTGGGGAGGAACATTAAAACAGCAAATTAGGGTGTTTTTTTTTTATTGGGGGTGGGGGGGGGGGAGGGGGTGGCTTAAAGGAGGAGATAATATAAAACATCTATTAAAGGTCCCTTTCACTACACCAACACTTCAAAGTAATTTTATATTCAAACATGCCCTGCAAGTTGAGCTCCCCTGTCATGGGCAGAAACCTAGATTTGAGCAGCAGCATTTTATTTTTAAATCCGCTTAAATATGTGGCCACTGGCAGAATTTCATAATGCAAATACCCAAGGATTAAAAATATAAGGCAAGGACTATAGATCAGATTTCAGAATGCTTGGTTGTAAGGACTTCGACCTGATTGACAAAAACAAATTCATCCTCTCACAATCAGGTTTGATAAGCTGTCACGACATTACATGGGACTGGGATCCTCCTAACTAGCATATTTAAAACCTTGCTTACACTAGAGGGTGTTTGGGAGGACTCATTCTTTGGTCAAAATAGCTTATAAGCTAGCTTATTCACAATTTAAGTATTTGGTGACACCAAAAAATAATCTAGCTTTTAATTCTCATTTAAAAAATTTGGGATTTCCTAACTTATAAAAAACCGGCATATAATCTCACCTAATTAAGCTAGGTTTGACCGAGTACATACCTATTTTACCAATACATTTTTATAAAAAAAATCATAATAGACTATCGCCATCAAAAGTTAACCTAGATTAAATCTTCCAAAAAATAAGGCCCTAAACACCCTCTAAGCTTTTTATGGGAAACATTAGCGAATCCATAGACCAGCCAACCATAAGAATCACTAACTTAAAAAGAATGTAATGATTTCAAGTTAGTTTCTGTTAACTTTACCGATTGCTCGCTTTAGATGAAAGACATTCTTGACGAGTTAAGCTACCTGCATGAACTTTCCCTTTCAACATAGTGATACAAGCCAAGAGGAAGCAGCTTCCTCTTTCTTTCTTGAAGGCAAGTTTGACAGATGCTTATGTGCTTACCTCACAGGATTGTTTACCAGCCCTTGGGCACATAGAAATGACCATAAGCATCCAGTTACATCACAGAGTGTATATTTTAGCATAAACAAATCTAGCCAGATATTTTACCGTGTCAGCTGTGTATGCGAGATATGTACTTTATGGACAAATTTAGACAGGTTTACAAAAAGAAGAAAAACAACTCTTTTAACACATCCAAAATGACCTCCCCCCAAACAAAACCCCAACTATTTCTTTGCCTTTTAATTTTTAATAAACTCGTCAATTATTAGTTATCACATGCTCTAAGAAGTTGTGGAATCTTTTCATCTGATTACATAGTTTGACTATTTCCATTTGTATAGTTGGTTATCACACTTACTGCGTGGCAAGAATTCTCATAAGATATCAAGGTCTCATAAGATATCAAGGTTTCTTTCAACTTAGTACTCGTGTACACATTTCAGTAAATTTTTTTTTGTTAATTATCAATTAGCTTAGGCATATTTATGTTTTTCACTTGCATCTAACTTAATCATTAAGCTAATTTTCATCTCTTATCGATATAAATAAAATAAATACCCGATTGCATTTTTTTACCACTTGAAAAATTCCAAGGGCAATAACATTTAATAACTAATCATCATTTTGCCACCATCTTATCTTAATCCACTATCCTCAATATCTTGGAGAAATTTTTTTCTTCATCTCTCAATTTCCTATAATCCATTCATTTTGTTCTCAATTTCCAAAAAAAAACTTATTTTTATCCTCTCTATTTACCCAAATGTCTAAGATACATACAACAATATTAATTTAAACTAGTGCATTGCATAGATAACTAGTTTGTAATATGTCATACTTACAGAAATTATCATCACTCAGCACCAATGTATTAAAAAACGCGTTTTGTGACCCGTTATAACCCGTTTCATGACATAACGAGACCAAAATATTACATAACAGTCCAAAAAACCCAAATAAAACGCTTTTATGGAGCGTTACGTTAAGGGTTTTAAAACTTAAGTTTTTTTGGGTTATATTGTGTATCAGATTTGGATAAGTGGATATTTTCCACCGTCCAGATCTAATCAATCCCAACTCTTTTTGAGTCTTTTCTACTAAGATATCCTAGCCTCCCCCCTTAGTTTTCAGTCCCGATTTCTCCCAGTAGAGACAAACTAAAAAAACCCGAACTTCCCATCATCTCCATCTCCATCGACGTCAAGCTCTCAGCCCCTCGCTCCTCCTCAGCTCTCTCCATCTCGATCTCCATCGACTACGAAATCTCCAGCTCCTCCATGGCTCACTCTCTATATCTATCTCCATCGACGACGAGACCTTGGCCGTACCTCCTCCTGTGCTCTCTCCATCAGTCCATCAACGACGAAGTCTTGTTGAATGGTGCACTCCAGTGACTCGACCACTTCAATGAGGTAATGAGGTTTTATTTTTTTATTTTTCATCAAATTTGTTTTATGTTAAAGTTATTTACAATGAATTGCAGTTAATTACTCTAAGTTACTCTAATCTAATCAACACTGAATCACTGATTTTCATTAAAGTAACATCTATATCAATTTAATAGTTCGACAGTTGTTTAGTTTGGTGATTTTGATTTATAAACTAATTGTTTGATTGTGATGAAAGATGAAAGTGAAACAATAGGAACTAGAATGGTTCTTATCTTTGATTTTGTCTAAGAAATAGTAGAATGGTTGACTCAATTTAGTTATAGATTGAATTGATGTAGTTTGATTGTAAATTGATAATTTGATTTGCTTGTTTGTTTCTGAATATGTGCAGTAGAAAAGAATATTGAACAATGTCTAGCTCTAAGAGTTCAGATCCCGTTAGAGCATGGTATTTGGAAAGAGGGGAAATCTTATCAAAGTCTCTATTGCAAGTATTGCAATCACCATATCACGACGGGTGTTACATAGGTGAAACATCACTTGCTAGTACTCGGAAGGGGTGAAGAAATGTGAGAAAGTTCCAGCAGCAGTGAAAAAGCAATGTGCAGAACTTCTAAAAGGAGTGGAATTAGGAAAAGAGAGAAAGGTAGCACTAGCTCAATCAATTGCAAGGATGGAAGAAGATTCAATCCAATAGGAGATTGATGATATTGAGGCACAAAGCGGACATGATAGCAGTAGCCAAGTCTAACAATTTAGAACATCTGGTCCATTAGATCAATTTGTTAATATTCAAGTCCGTCAAACGACGATTGAGAGTAGAATCAAAAGAGAATAGAGGGATGTCATAAGATTAGCCGATTTATCTTCGGTAACGGATTGGCATTCAACATCTTGAACAGTCTGTATTGGTGAGAGATGGCAGAGTCAATGGGGAAGCTTGGGACTGAGATGAAGCTTCCTACTCCTTATGAGATAAGGACTCGTATGCTAAAGAATGAAGTGAAGAATATAGATGCTATAAAGGCAACTCATAAGAAGGCTTAGGAGATATGGGCGCACTCTTATGTCTGATGCCATCGGACAAGAAAAGTAGGAGTTTAATTAACTTCCTCGTGAACTCATGGGAGGGGACTTTTTTTATAAGCCCATTAATGCATTGGCAGCTATTAAGTACGGGGAGTATCTTTTTCAGTGCCTTGATTAGATGGTGGAGGAGATTGGGGAGACGAATGTTCTCCAAATCATCACAGATAACCATTCTTCATATGTGCTTGTCGGGAAGAAGCTTATGGACAAGAGGAAGTCACTTTATTGGTCACCGTGTGCGGCACATTGCATTGACCTTCTATTAGAGGACATTGGAAAATTGAATACACATCGGGAGACACTTGAAGATACAAAAGCAATGATACACTTCATCTACAATCATTGTTAGGTCTTGAGCTTAATGAGAAAGTACATAGGTGGGAAGGAGCTATTGAGGCCTGCTGTTATTCGCGTTGCCACATCCTTCTTAACACTGCAAAGGTTGTATTCTTTAAAAGATCCTTTAAAGAATATGTTTGGTAGTTATGAGTTTCAGAGGAGCACTTGGGCAAAAAAGCCTAAATGAGTGAAGGCAAAGGAGAAGGTTCTTTACACGAGAGGGTTTTGGGGAAAGGTTCTCTTCTGTTTTATCACTACTCTTCCACTTGTTTATGTCCTTCGAGAAGTGGATTCAGATGTGAGACCCTCTGTGCCATTCTTATGTGAGATGATGAATAGTGCAAAGGAGAAGATCGCGGATGCATGCAGCAGAAAGAAGAGGGTGTACATGCCTTATTGGAAATTAATTGATTCTAGATGGACGAATGTTGCATCGACCTATCCATGTTGCCGCTTACTACCTCAATCCGAGATATTTCTATGGGTATAGATTTAGTGAGGATTTGGGGGTGAAGAAAGGGCTTCGCATGTGTATGAATCGCATGATCCTGAGAGAGCAATAGCTGATTGTGAGCTAGATGCTTATAAGGACAAGAGAGGAGAATTTGAAACATCCATGGCTCAAAAGACTCTTACTCAACGTAGTCCAAGTATTAATTTAATAATTTTATCAATCTTTTTCAATAATAATGGTGCTCGTTATGTTAATTTCCGATCTCTAAATGCATGGCTTCTTGGTTGGAGAGATTTAGCGATAATACTCCTACACTAAGGCGATTTGCAGTTCGTGTTCTCTCGTTCACTACTAGTGCATCCGGATGCTTACGGAAAATGTCATTTCTAAAATTTAGCTTAATATCATTAATCTTAGAAGCTCACAAGTTGTTATCCTTTCATGAAGGTCACTCGAAAAAGAGATGTTGTTTGGAGCACGAGCAACTTAACTCTCTTGTGTATGTCATGTACAATATCAAACTAATAGAAAGAAATATGTGGAGGATGTGTAAGATGGATCCCGTTTTATCCCGTTTTATTATATGAGATATCTCCTAATGATGAGTGGTTAGTCGAGGAGCCTTGTCTTCCGGACGATCCGAGTTGGCTAGATGGTGATGATGAAAATAGTGAGTATCTCGATGTCGTTGTAATTAATAATATAGTTATTAGCTACTGTGGAAGAAGATAAGAACTAAGAAAGATGCTCCAACCACAAAGAAACAAGAAGTTGATGGTTCTTGTAAGCATTCTTAGATCATTTCAATGGTTTTGTTTACTTGAATAAATATTTGAGTTGTTGATTGAAATTATTTCTACATCCTCTACACGAAAAGGAAAAGAGATCGCCACTTAAGATGAAGTGGATCCTGAGGATGCAAATTACACTCTAGAGGCGGATGACTTAGTTGTTTTGTGAGAGAACTAGAGGATGATGATTTTATCTTTTAGGATTTATTACAGCTTGAAACTTGAAAATTGAAACTTGTAAGTGTTTGATTTTGTTAGGACTTGTTTGATTGCTTTAAACTTAACGTATTTGATCATTTGATGATGCTTTTTGGAGTGGTTATTGGTCATCTATGACTAACTTTTGTTTAAGAAATTGGGATATTATATTTCTATATTTGATAATTACGATGTTGTGTTTAAAAATTTTGATGATTCTAATTAATAAAGTCATTTAAATTTATTTATATTTATAGAAAATTTAAATAATTAATAAACAATATAACCTACGTTATGCGTTATGTTTTTTTTTGCGTTTTTTCCATAACCCTTAACAATAAATAAGCGTTACGTTATGCGATATCATTTTTTCAACACTGGTTGGCACTAAATGGCCATTCAAAACTTTTATATTTTTTTATACTTTCATACTAAGTACTGAATGGCCCTATTATGGGGCTAAGAGGTGTAGAAGTTGACCCAAAAGTACGTGGTTGGAAGCAATTTAGAAAGATATGATAATAGTTAACAAGAGATGACCAAAACTACAAGTAAGTGGAAGAATAGGATTTATATAGTTAATCCCAAGTATTTGAGATAAACGCTTTGTTGGTGGTGGTGATGGTGCAGTGTTGTCGTTTATACTATGCACTGTTTGGCCAAATTTATAGAATTCTAGATTACTGACATTACTCACAGAAGCCTATCGGTTTTTACCAATACATCTTTAGTGTTTAATGGAAACTAGTGCACTGAAATTTTAAAAATATACCTTTTCAACATCGTTTCCACATTGACCTGTCCAGAAAAACAAAGTTTAGTCAGGTCACTAATTTTATACAACGGGAAATTCATCTATTAGAACGTCACAATCAGTAGATAAGACTTATTTTTATTTTTTTCAGAAGGAATTCCAACACACACACGCACACGATGTATATAGCTGTTTTCTGTAGCAAATACCCCCAAAGAACTATTGTGAAAACTACACATGCAGGGTATTGCATCTTCATTACAATTACTTACCATGTGCATACACAATTGCATGCAAAATGTCACATGGTAAAAGAATAAAAAATCTTGAAGTAGAATATAGTATATACCTTCTAACAGCAATATGAATAAAGCTAATAAAGCCTATGATAGATTTATGTTCAAAGTACCCAAATATAGCTAGCTCAACTAAACCAATTTGCAGTTGTCACTATAAAATGGTAAAACAATAATAAATTCTTGGAATGAAGGATATTGCCAGTTATTGACAAAATTAATGTACGGTGTACAATAAAACTGGTAAAACAACAGTAAAGTTTGGAATAAGATATATTCCCTAACACCAGATAAATAAAAAATAGTTGCCACAAGGGGAAAAGGTTACAAAATATATTATAACGAAATGATCAAAGTAATAGAGGTTACAAAATATATAATAACGAAATGATCAAAGTAATAGTAAATGAAATAACAATGAGGTTGTATTAAGAGTAAATGCAGGTCAGAATCCCATGGTGTAACTGTCTGCATTAAACAGAGTAAGGTAAAGATAGTGTATTATTAGTGTTTTAGCTATTGGCCAATATATCAGTTTTGAACCCTGGCTCTATAATATCTTAAATAGCTAACTGGATGTGATTGGAAAGAATTATCGATGAGACATTGGCTTGAATCCAGTATGCAGCTGAAATATCAGTTCTGAACGCTCGGGCGGCTTCTAATAGTAATCAAGTTGAACAGATTTTTAAAAAGGCACAATAACCAGATCAGAACCCTTTACTTATGAATTCATGCCACATACCCTCTACCCTATCTCCTAGACTATAATATAAGTCTACCCCCTCAGCCCATATTCCCCAAATCAACAGTCAACTTTCAGCAATGACGCCAGTGGTGGCAATGAAATTCACACAGCAGAAATGACTGGTAGCATCGTTGGAAAGGGAAAAATGAACCATGAAGGTTGCAGGTTGGTTTTTTCTGTTTACTTTTGCCAAATTCGAAGGGATTTTCTAACTTTTTCTTTCCTAGTTTCTTAATGTCTTTCATAAACCAGTGACAGAAAACTGCTTCCTTCGGACTTCGCAACTCCGAGAAACATCTTTGCCCACAAATGTTCTTGACTGGAATTTGTTGTAATTTTGTTATAAGAAGAGGTGGTAGTTGTTCTTTTAAACACTACTTGAAATGGAAAAGAAATTTCAAACATAACAGCTTTAAAGATAACGATGTTACATGCTTAACACATGCAAGTCGAAGATGAGACGATCTGAGGATCGGTGATTTTCAAAGTCTGTTGGGAACACGTAAACGCCACTGTGCTATGCCGGATCAAACCATTACCGACCATATCAACAATGTTTCAGGCCCCACGATTCAGAGATGGATAGAAACATCACATATTAAAATATGTTGTAATAGGCTTTGACTGGAATTTTGAGGATTAGTATTGGTTAGGTATAAGTGGTCTTGCATAATGAGCTTGTTGAGCACATTGGGTATCTTATTTATGAGATGGAATCATCCAGATTATTGTATATCCTGGATTGTCAATGTTCCAATAGCTCCTGCTTCAAAAAATTTGAATGATGAGTTATCTTCACCAAGTGCAGGAAAAATAATACCTTTAGATTCATGCCATAATTCAAGCCTGCACTGTTACCAGAACAAATATACAACCGCATGAAAATGATTTCAAGGCAACCTAAAACAAGCCATAGACCACTAGCATGTAGAAAAACCTTCTGTCATTCAGTCTATACTTTTACTTTCCATAGGATTCAATGTTCCATATGTAGCTCACTCCACTCAGTGTTATCTTCAACACCTTCTCGTGCCAATAGAACCATGTCATCCTAGATAGGCTAGATTACTTACCACTAGGGTGCAAACAGATTGAATATCGATCGGATATAACACTTACCATATTCGTATATCCAATCACAGATAAGAATACAGAAATCAGTCAGGAAAACTCATATTCATAACTGCAAAAATCGTATATAAAAACGGATATACATTCAGATATTTTTGCGGACATAGATGCGCATATAAAATGGATAAGAGAAAACTAGATATTGAAAAAGATTTAGTTCATATGATACAACTTACAAGAGAGTCCATTGATGTGTTCATTATATTAGAAAAGCAAAATCAGATCCCTGGATCATCAAAACTAACCTAAAATCCATTAATCCAAGGATCAAAACAATTGCAAATTTGCAATGGTATGATCAACTTGAACTTATATTCGGATATTCTGGATATTGACGCAGATATTTCACTACATATCTGCATGGTAACCATATCCTATCGGATATATATATTTAGCAACCATATATTTATCCATTATAATACAGATATATCTATGTATATGAACATAATTATTGCACCACTACTTAGAACTATGAAGCTTATGAACTGTGCAAAAAATGACTTGCAACTCCACAATCAAATCTAAGAATTCAACAAAGGGGTGTGAAAGAAGGATTCAAATAAAACTGGTGGATCAGTTATTCATTGGGATACCATTGATGAAAAAGGCAAATTATTTGCCGGCTTCTTTGATTAGAGTTTAAGTATCTTATATGGAAAAAGAGAATATTGCCCCACACTTTTTTAGGAGTCAGTATGAATCAGATATGATTTCAACTTTTAAAATCCAAAAATCAATTGCCCATCATATCATTGGACAACATAAAAAGTTTTCAACCTTTTGGTAAATAAATGAGAAATTCTGATTAGTGTAAAGTGTAAACTCTGAAAATTTGGCTCACTCTCTTCTTTGTCATTTCTCATCATCATTGTTTTTGTCTTATGTAGGATATACTGGTGGTCACTTAACTAGGGAAATAATTGGATAGAAGAAAAGCGCCCATGTAGTTGACTCCAAAATTTCAACATGCAATTTTTTTGTGTAGTGTTTTTGCCTCATACATACATGGACGACTATTTCTTCAGATCAATACCTTATCTTTTAGTTCTAAATCATTTCCAACCCACAATATGTCTAGGTTTTTTGGTGGATATAGCGAAGTCCTTCAAGGATGGTTCATGATGTACATGTCCATTAGCATTTTGATTATGGGATCTGTGACTGCATACAGAGTGAAAACTGAACATTGTCATTAATGTAGAAAAACACGCACATCTTGTTAGATGGCTTAATAGGACATGTTAACAGATGAAATCTTTCGTCATGGTAACACCTTAAAAAAGATGTATGACCTAAGTTGCATGGAAACGAATATGGGTACCGATACGGGTGCACGTATGGGTACGGGACACGGTAAATATGTGAAATGTAGGGTACGGGGACACGACTACATATATATAGCGAAATTAATAATTTACATGAGATCATTATTATTTTCTAATTGATGTGCTATTTAAAATTAATTTCTCATCATATTTTTAAGTTTCTTTTATTATGTTGACTATTATAAATTGGAAACATGTTTTTTAACTAGACACTCAACCCACCCTTTTAAATCATAGTTTTTAACTTGAATACATGCAGAATCATCTGGACCCATGTTTAACAAGTTTCAAGAAATGGACATGAAGTGTAGAATACACATCCAAGAAGTATATGATAAGTATTTTTAATTAAAACATATATCGTATAATTGAGCACATATCTGGGTAAATGTATGCATACGTCGAAGGAGTGTCCATGAAGTTTGGGTACAGATAAGTTTCGGGTACGTGTCGGATACGGTATGGCTTCATGATAGAAGTACTCGGGTAACATAGGGTAGGACGGAATAAACAAGTACACTTGACTAGTAACATCTTTTGTCTTTCGGAGGTATCACGGGACTAAGCAACCAACATCAAATAAAGAGTTTATTGACATCATTTGTTTCAGACCCACTAATTTGAAGATCTTATACCAGGCTTTACAATTTCTTCTAGTGTAACAGACAAAGGACATAAGTGAGTAACAATTGTTCTTCATACAGTTGTCAACATGTTTGTATCACTAGTTTTTAATGCAGCTTGAAGAATAAGCTTCCTTGAGGATCAGATGGTCAATTTTCTTATTCTAAATATTTGGTGTTGTGAGGCTACAAGACGAGAAGCTTGGAAACATAAAACCTCTAGACTCCAGGTTCTACTCAAACTAATTGCCTCAACTAAAGCTTATAATCACATTTAAGATTTATGTTAAACTATCACCATTACAATAAAATAGGTGGTTCCCAATCTCTCCCCTCATGAGAAGTTCACATCAGAGAGGAATTATTGGAAGTGAACTTTATCAGCTGTACATGATCACAAAAAATTTCCTAGTAAAAAAGTTCAGAAAAGAGTAATTCAAATCAAATTGAACAAAATGAGGCCAATACCCAGAGAAATGGATTTATAGTAGGTCATTTAACATGAAAATGGTCGAGCAATCTTTTCCCTTTTTTTTGTTTTTTGTTTTTGTTTTTTTTTTTAGAGTGCACTAAAGTTTCGGTTTTGACACAGAAAGTTGAACTCTACTATCACATATTGCATGATGTGAGGCTACAGAAGAAAAGCTTGATAAAACACAAATCTTCCAGACTCATCTGGGTTCTACTCAAACAAATTACTGAAACTAGAGCAAAGGAACGACCTTAGGATTTCTGTTAAACAATTAAAACTATGGTAGAATAGATGGATTCCATATCTCTCCTTCCTATAAGTTTTTGTTATTCAAGTATTATCGGAATCAAATTTCGTCAACTGCCAATGATCTTGGGAATGTCATAGTCAAGAAGTTCACCAAACAATAAGTAAAATCAAACATTGAGGATGAGGTGGGTCTATGTGCGGAGAAACTGGTCACATGTAGGTTATTCGCATGAAGGGTAACCATATTACAGACAGAGGAAAGACACAAAAACATTCTTTATTGACAAATTAATAACTTTCTTCAAGCAAACAGCCCAATCAACAAAAGAAAGATCAATGAAATGAATGAACTCACAAAGCACATCCTTGACCACGCCCATCCCAAGCTCCGAACTCTCCCCGAGCATCGAGCACAAGAACTCCTCCCCTTCCTCCACACTGTACTTCCTATCCTTCCCATTCCCATTCTTCACCTCCCTCCTCCCATTCGAAGAGGGTTTAACATACTCCCTCCCAATAACATCCGCAACGATCCCACTCGAAGCCGCAACCGCCTTCTTCTTCTTCTTCCTCTTCTCCTCCTCAATTTCCGCCACTGCCTGCAACGCATCCTCAGGATCTTCCAACTGAGCGCCGAGAATTCCAGCGGTCTTGAAGGGATCACGACCCGCCTCAGTGTAAGCCGAGGCAATCTGATCAAATGAAAGAGAAGAAAACGCTCCGGTAAGCCAATTTAGGTCTAGGGTTTCATTCTGCTCGTCCTCTCCTTCAGTGTCTGATCCCCAACGGGGTATTTGCTCGGATTGAGGGAGTGAAGGTAACGAGGGATTCCGCTTCTTCTTCTTCATCTTCTTCTTATTACCGCCTCCGTTATTCGATTCCGAGGGTTTCATCGTCGAAGTGAGGATTCCGGCGGCCTTGAAGGGATCGCGGCCGGACTCTGCATAAGCGGAGGCGATCTGCTCGAAGGGAACAGAGGAGAAGGCGCTGGTGAGCCAAGCTAGGGTTAGCGTTTCGCTCCGCCGCTCATCGACGCCGTCGGCGTCGGATCCGAGATGGACCGGCTTGTCGATGGAGAGGGAGGGGAATTGAGGCTGGGCGGGGGAAGGGGACGAGGGCTTCCGCTTCTTTTTCGCTTTACTCCTGTTGGACTTCGAGGGTTTCATGGCTGATTCTGGAGGAGGTGAGGATTTGGGGACCGTTGAAACAATTGGAGCGGGGTGGGCGGAGGAGGAATAAAAACAAGGGGGTTTTTTTCCTACTTTTGATTTTGAGGAGCTCGTGAAAAGAGCTTTTAATAATAGTGGGAGAAGAGGAATTAGTAAAGGGGGATTAATGTGAGAGGAGATGGGAGTGGTGGACCGAGAGTGAGGATTCCACGCGCTGCTGAGAATGTTATCACCCACGAGCCGGGAATCTCGCTTTTACGAGACCGGGCGGATTTTACGTTCTGATATGAGGTTCATGGTAGGATTCGGAGGCGCACAAATGTTACAGCCCGCATTTATATTGGCTGTTTGGTTGGTTTCTCTAAATATAGTAAACCTATTTCCAAGCTTAGATATAGATTTCCATGTGTTTTATAGGTTTCTTAAAGTTTGTTTGGTTCAACACAAAATAGGTTGGGAAATTTATTTCCTCACACATCCATTGTTTGTTTCACATCTAAAAAAATAGAAACTAAGAATAGGAAATGTCACTTTTTATTTCCTCTAGTTTGGATGGAAGAAGTGCACAATGAGAAAAACAAGATGTGCTCACCATGTTGAGGTTACCACCAAAAAAACATGCACATAATAAAAGTTCGTATTCATTTCAACAATCAAATTCTAACACCACTTTACAGCTGCTATAAAAATTTTTTGCAATCAATCTTAACAAATAGTCAAAGGTCATGTTTTTCAATAAAGAGTTGCAACTTAAATTAACTTTCTAAAACTTATAAACCACATAACAAACAGAATCTTACATTTCATAATTGCTCAGATTAACGAGGTAAAACTCAAGCATTAACTTTTCTGAAAAAATACAAATTTCACGAGAAGTCGCGCCTCGAGTTACGAAACTCAGTGATGAAATAAAAGCTGAAAGGATTCTTATCTTATATGTGAACTGGAAACAAACATGCCAAAAATGTTAATAACAGATACAAGATCAATTTGTACAATTCAAAGAAATATAATGTTAAAGCAAACATACGTGTAAATTCATAACAACATAAGCAACTTTCCAGGCGAAGCTTCAGCAAAATTCTAAAAATGGCTTCTGCTATGACAACAATCAAAAAATAGCAAAGTTAGCACTAAAATCTATGTGGCGTGTTCTATTTCTCTTTGGACCAAAAGAAGGATCATCTGAGAGACCCAATGTTACAAATGTAATTTCAGAAAAAGAGAACCATACTATTATGCTAATTAATGGTAAGAAGAATGATGGTAACAAGAATAATAAATATGATTCAGTTTCTAACTTACATGAATGATTTAATACAAATCATCATAGACATATGTAAGCTCAGAACTTGAAGATAATCATAAGTGACAGCCATCCAATACTTAAGTGCCCATGTAGTGCTTGATGTGTGAGAGCTTTATCAATAACATTATTGATAGCCATGCTAATACATGAGAGTTCATGTAGGTTGCTAAATCATAAATATTGATCAAAAGCATGATGCACATCTACGACATACATGAGTCTCAATGCAGGTTGCATATCACAATATTTTTCATTATCATCATTGCTTGATGAGTCAGATAGTATCTATGCATGAAAGCCTCATGTTGTATAAGGAAAACAAGTATATTGGCAATTGTTAAAATTTCCAAAATCTAATGGGTGCTCAGAAAATGACCAACAAACTACAAAGATAGTCATACCAGTACATGAGGTCTAAATGTAGGTTGTTATCCTTTGAAATTGGTCAAATATCATAGCAACGACTCATGTTGATAGGTAAGAAATTAAATATTTGGTGCTTCTGTTGGAGGATCCTGCAACAATGAGCCAGGATTATTAGATAATATATTCAGATTTATAGCTCAATTTCCATACAGGGGCTGTTTGGTTTGTTTCCCTAATTATAGGAAACTCATTTGCAAGCAAAAACATTCATTTTCATGTGTTTTTAAATGTTTTTTAAATTTTTCTTGGCTCATCACAGAACATCGCTTCTCATTTTCTCCAGTTTGGATGGAAGAAGTGCACGATTCTAAAAACTAGATGTGCTCACCATGGTGAGGTTACCATCAAAAAGAGAACTAAAAGCATTGAAAAGAGGCTCACATTATGAAATAGGCAAAATTTTGGATACAAAAAACTTAAAGCATTGAAAAGAGGCTCACCTTGCCAAATAGGTAAAATTTTAGATACAGAAAACTAAAAGCATTGCAGAACTAAGTAGTTAATTATCGCTGACAGTTGAAAAGAATAGAAAACTTAAAAGCAAGTTCAAGATAGCAAAAAGAGGCTCACCTTGCCAAATAGGCAAACTTTTGGACCAAAGAAAGAAATCCAAGCACTGAAAATGCCCTACTACTGAAAAATGCAATCAATAAAGGTGTTGAAGGATACACAGTGCCGAGACTAAATATTTCAAATCATGAACCAATTCAAAAAATATTTATCCTCTCAAAAAATAATTATATCAACACAAGCCAAATACCAACAAGAGATGAGATTCTGTTCACGCATCTCACATAACTTTCTTTCTCAATGTAATCCTCAAACACCTGAATGCTCAGATTTTAAAGTATTACCGAACTTCAACAACTAAGATAGCTACGGAAAGTGTGAATATATTAAAAGAACAAGTCTTGGAGTGTAATACTTGAATGCTCAGATTAAAAAAAAAAGATCTCCTTCGATACTTCATTTGGCGCTTGTCTCATATATCGTCCACATATGTGATAAATTGCTTCAAGCACTTTGTTGAAATATCTACTTAAGATCTCCCCGGATCTAATAAAATGTGACCTTATGATGCTATTTTTGGTTTTATGACCCAAAATATTTAACGTCGTGGCAAGTTGTTCCTCTACTGTAACATGCCGAGAATCTTTTAAAAGTTCATTTGACCTCATAATTCTTGCAAGATTGTGGAAAGCCCCACTCCGCATTCTGACATAGGTTTGACAACTATCTAAATATCCATGCTCTATGTAGTGCATGTGGTCAAGTCTCCTTTTTTTAATTAATTTTTCAATAGTTGGACCGCTACGTATTCTTCTACGTCTAGCTTGCATGAATGTAACTAAGATCAATATGATAGATAGTGTAGCCCTAGAGACAATGCTCACTATCATTTCTTCATAAACACATTCACCATCCATCTATAATACCCATATTAAATCAATTATCAGTTTGAATGAAAAATAAAGTAGTACACGTGTGACAAATATTTATAATGTACTATATGATCTGAATATTAAACTGCATCATTGAGAAACAAGTTTTTGCCATAAAAATCAAAACAATTACTAAGTAATCTTATATAAAAAGCTAACTTTATATTCATGGGTTGAACCAAATTCATAGCTGGAACCAATAAGCAACGAGATCACAATAATCATTTTCTTCCTAAATAGAGGTTGAACCAAATTCATAGCTGGAACCAATAAGCAACGAGATCACAATAATCATTTTCTTCCTAAATAGAGGATTTAACATAAAGATTAGAGCACTAAATAAGCAACGAGATCACAATAATCATTTTCTTCCTAAATAGAGGATTTAACATAAAGATTAGAGCACTACAATCATAGTCAAAATAGAAGATTTGAAGCAGTGTTATAAAATCAAGATTTTGAAGAGCATGAGGTAGTGTACGTCGTTGTTTCGAACAGGTCTCTGTCGAAGATGAGATAGTGATCCTATGGTCTACACATACTTAGGATATAACAAATCTTTTCTATATAACGAAAGAGGAGTACACGCGGAACTAGTATATATAATACTTAGCACATATAGGAAAATTAATAAATTATATAATTTAAGAAGTACTCAAAACTAATAAGTATATATAATACTTAGCATCCATATTGAAGTGTTTCATTCTATTTGCATAACCCATGCATTATCACAAACACGAGCAACCCCTATGCATAAATATGGTGTCATTTTCGGTGGTAACCTATGACATGATCGGATTCAACATGCTTTAAATGTTATTACAGATATGTAAATTCTTCCTCGTAGATAAAATCTTAATCATGAAAACAAATAAATAACTCGCTATAAATTACAAAAATAAAAAGCGACATACTAACATCTGGTCTATAGTGAATATAAACATGTCTCTCTTTCAGCACTATAAGGGGGTGTTTGTTTCAAATCCCAAAATTTCAGGATATGGATTTCAAGATAAAATTTGAAATCCATAAATTTTTTGGTGGGTTTTAGGATCTCTAAAATGTTGTTTGTTTTAACAAAATTTTAGGATATGAAATACCAAAACTTAGAATGTTTTGTTTGTTTCAAACTTAAATTATAGCATTACAAATTTTAGAATTTGAAATCCCAAATTGTAGCAAACAAAATTTAGGATCGCCAAAATAATGATTGGTGAATTTAAGAATTTTTGGTGAGCTTACCCCCAATAAAAAATAAAAACTATTGTATTTACTCTTCAAGAAAGCCCACAACAAAAGATGAAACTGAAATTGAAACTGAAACATAAACTTAATTTCCCAGAGCATGGTCTCCTATACATGTTAGCTCAGTCAAGGTCACCAGCACAACCACGTCCAGCAAGCATACAATGCATTCTAGAATAATGATGTAGAAGAATAAGGAGGTAATGTAGCCAAATCAAAAGCAACAAACCCAGCAACCCAGACCACCAGCGGCAAAAACAAAGACCTCCAGCAACAAAATCACAAGCAACCAAGTTTAAAGCACAAGCCATCAAGAACAAGTCAACAAGCAAACTGTATATGAGAGTCAAAATTTTGTTTCAGGCCCCTTTAACAAAAAATTAAACAAAACCTGTATATGAGACTGTGTACAAAAGTATGGTTTGTGGCTCAAAATTAAACAAAACCTGTATATGAGACTGTGTACAAAAGTATGGTTTGTTTCAGGCCCCAAATCAGAGTAGTTGAAACAAATTATACACTCAACGTTTGGATCCTCATAACTTGCTAGTATGGTTCAAGCTTTTCTGAATAAATAAAAGCAAAGGAATGAAGTACATAGAACAAATATTGTGCATGAATGAGATAACCAATAAATTTGAAGTAACCAAACCACAAATATCTAGGGAAAAGACTTACCTGTGTACAAAATTAGTCTTGAGAAACCACAAATAAAGGAATTATTGTCATGAACTGTCAATAAAACAATTTGATGGGAGAGTTCTCTCTCATTAGCTCAAAAACAAGCATTGAAAACAACAAGCACAACAAATAGTGTCAAACACAACAAATGGATAGGGCTGTTTCAATACTCAGGATAATTCTTAGAAAACTAATTAAACGATAGAGTCAAGCACAACAAATAGAGCAATTGATGTAGGAGAATAAAGCCACCAACAACCACAAGATTATGAATACCAAGGCTCATAGAATAATGATGTAGAAGAATAAAGAGGTAATGTAGCCAAATCAAAAGCAACAAACCCAGCAACTCAGACCACCAGCATGAAAACTCATAATAGGAACAAGTTAGGGGCTCAGATATAAGTATTAAAATTGAATACATAGATTGCCTCATCTAACAATGGTGTTGCAATGTAGGTTGCAATCAAATGAATGGATTGCCTCACCGAACATTGTAAATACAATGTAGGTTGCAATCACATGAATGAATTGCCTTACCTAACATTGTAAATGCAATGTAGGTTGCATTCTCATCCAAGATTACCCTACCTAAACATAGCAAAACATTGTAGATTGCATTCTCTTAACTAAGACCATCATCATTGCCCACTTAGAAGAATACAAAGTAGCCATACCGAAAATCGTGCAATGTAGGTTACTATCAAATATCATATCTAATGATATTTATATAAACCTGCAAAAGAACCAAAGCTATAATGAGATTGCAATTAGATTAGTGAAATTAGTTACATCATTAAGTTGTTAAACTTACAAAATTAGCAACATAAAGCTACACCACTAAGTGTTCAACTTACAAAATTAGTTTCATCATTAAGTTGTTAAATATACAATGAGTTTACAAATGCAATAGATATGTCAAGTCTTCAAAAGTAGTGCAATATCAAGTTTTCATAAGTCAAACCCTTGCTCGTTGATAATCTTCTCTATAAATAGCTTTTGAGAATTTTTGGTTTTGATGATCAACCTCCTAGCTTCTGATTCATGGTCATACAAGTAATCAAGCACTTTATCTAATACCACCTCAGAAAATTCACTCTCATGCGTCATTACAACATTCGCCATGGTCTCACTCCAATGCACAACACGTTGATGTACATGTTGATTTTGAATTGAGAACGACATCGTGTCAATGAAACCGCGCATGAGAGTCTCATCCTCTTTAGCCTTGCTACTCTTCTTCCTAGGAGTTGATGTATCAATTGATGCAGAAGTTACCCCACTAGAAGCCTTCAATTTCTTACCTTGAGAGTTGTGGTTTTGCCCACTTAATTTCTCGGGCTCAAGATGTGGGCTTAGGGACAAATCAACCTCATTATCACTAAGTATTACATGATCCTCATCTCTATCTGTATCATGTTGTCTAGAGCCAAGCTTTTCAGTCATATCTTTGGTGAAATCACCCTTTGTTTGGTCATCTCCCGTGATATAACACAAGTTCTCATAGTGAATGAGAGGAGTGTTCAAATACTCCTTCAATCTAGAGTTATTGCATTTTTTTCCTGTGCAATGAAATATTGCAAAATCAGTTACTAAGAAGTAATTATTCAAAGTTTGCTTATTTATCAAAAATATTACCTTTGTCCACCTATCAAAACAATCTGGATCCATAGTGACAATCTTAGTTTATGGATCATAACCAACCCCACTCATGTCCATGACAGTGCGCATATCAAAATATTTACCCTTCAAGGACTTGACATGGTTCATGACATTCTCCTTTGTGAACTCAGTGCCACACTTCTTGTTAACCTCCTCTGCAGCTCTTCGATATGCAAGCACCTTAAAGTTTTTGTCAACTTTGAGACCATCCTTAGCCATCTGAGCAAGGAAGGGGATTAACACATCATCATTCTCTGCAGTCCATTTAGCATTAGGCACCCCCCTTGTATTCTCTTTTTTGTTCAGGACTTTTGGTGGCATTTTTCTTTTAGTAACTATCCGCTTCTTGCTTTTGCTTGGTGAGGCAGCATCATCCTCAAGGTCAATTGCCACTGGCCTCTTCAAAGAATGAGTCTCACTTGAATGGGTACCAGGGGAAGTGTGGATAAGTAGGTGGCCACTGTTAAGCATATTCATAAACGACATGGGTTGCTGAGTCATAAATGAGTAGTTCATATCATAAGGATTGTAAGATGGATAAGTCGGTGGAGCAATGTATTGGGGCGGAGGGAATGGTTGTGTAGTGGGTGGTGGGGGAGCCGGGAAGTATGGATAAGTGGGTGTTGTTGGTGTTCTAGGTAAAGTATTCCTGAACTTATCACTTTCATTAGAATTTGCCATGACTGATTGTTACAAATTAAAACAGACAAATAACAAATTTCAAACCTCATGTTAGTACAATAATAGAGTATGAACATCAAAAAGTAGCATTCATAAAGCCTGGTCTTCATAGCTAAATCAGGAAAACTCAAATAAACCACAAGCTTGAAAAACCGGTATGCAAACAAGCCTCGCGGCTCATATAATCAAGGTTGCAAACAAGCACAAAATTAAACAGAACCGCAAGCTGGCAAGTTTGATATATACAAAAATAGCATGCGAAAATGATAATATACTCATTTATCCATGAGTATTGTTGTAACATGAACGAATACATAGAGGTAGTAGACAATATATCAACGAGTACAATAACACATGGAGAATATAACTTAGATTACATCCCGATCTCGGTTGTGTCTCCATCGCGCCATTTAGCACAATAATCTTCCCACATATCAATTGCAATTTGATCCCTCTTTGCTCTCCATTCATTTTTTGAATCTCTTTTCTCTCTTTGTGTCATAGTTTGAGTAAAGTCAACAACACCCTCTTCACCTTCATTTGCTATTTCATCTCCATCCTCTTCAATATGGTTGTCCTCATGCAACAACTCATCGCCCGGGTCTTCTATGGCGATATAGTTATGAAGTATAGTACATGCAATAACTATATCAACTTGAGTTGGAAAAGGGTAATGTGGCTTCGCGGATAGGATTTTGAAATGATTTTTTAATACCTCAAATGTTGATTTAATTTTAGACCTTAGGGATGAGTGTCTTAAATTGAACAACTCTTGCCTATTATTGATTGGCCTACCCTTGTGCTCATTTAGATGATACCACACTCCTCGATATGGGGAGATAAAGCCATGCATAGTAGTGTAGCCCGCATCACACAAATAATATTTTCCTACATTTATCAAAAAGAAATTTAGTATATTTTTAATTATAATTAAGTAGACATACTTTATTTGATTGATTTATTACCATCGTAAACTCTCAATCTGCGAGGTTGTGGTCTAGATAACACATCTTGCAAAACTCTATAATCATTTGCAGATCCCTCCCATCCAGCTAGAACATACGAAAATAACTTGTTGGGAGTGCATGCAGCTAGAACATTTTGAGTTACACCTTTACGACCTCTAAAACGTGCAACAAGGTTAGCGGGAAGCATGGCGTCGATATGGGTTCCATCTATCATGCCAATACAATCCTATATGATACATTAAACAGTTATTAATAATAGAAAGATAAAATTAACTGTTAGATTATGAGTAGTTATATTATAATAACGATTACCTTGAAATAAGGATAATATAACGGGTTAGTGGCAATCTCTGGTGATGCTTTATTTGGTGCTTGCTTCATGTACCGCCCCCTTAAACGACCAACGGCTTCCAAGCACTTGTTAAAGTATTTTGAAATGGTTTCCCCCGATCTTATGAAATGTGACCTAACAATTCTATTTTTTGTTTTATGGCCTAATATATTAAGGAACATGAGCAATTGTTCTTCTACTTTAACAACCCGTCCATCTTTTAGTAGGTCGACATATCTCATTATGCTAACAAGATTATGAAATGCACGCGGCCTCATTCTAACATAAGCCCTACAACTCTCTGTAGACGGTAAAAAAATACCTCCGTGAACTTACAAGAAATTCGCCTGCAAGAAGAAGTCGCCCAAGCCACGGGAATTCACCTTTTAACACGACTCGCCTGACCGAGTCTGAAGTCGAATTCGCCAGCAAACCTCAATGTCGCTAGTATAGCTAGATATCTGCTACCCCACGTGCTAAGGCGGGCTTTCCCACCTCTCTCGACCTGAAGGGAGAGAGCACAGTATTCTAGGCTCGTCGAGTGAGCAGGCAGGTGTCGAATCGACCTGAACACTCATAAATGCAGCTCACCTCGTCTGTCCTAGTCAGGAGCTGGATCCGCCGGCATTCGGCGAGCTGTCCAAGCCCACTCGAGTACTGGGAACCCGCTTTCCCACCTCTCTCGATCTAAAGGGAGAAGACACGGTACTCCAGGCCTGCCGAATAGCCGCTCACAGTACAAGTGATCAGACAGACGCCAAATCAACCTATGCGCTCATAAATGCGACTCAGCTCAACAGTCCAAGTCAAGAGCTAGATCCGCCGGCGCACAGTAGGCTGGCCGAATCCACTCGAGTAGTGGGCAGCCGCTGTCTCACATACGAGGAGGGGCCTTCCCACTCCTACGTGACATGACGTGAAACACACCCCATCAAATGACCGTTAGTAGTACAGACGGGCGGCAAGACATCCCTTGACAGTACATGGTCACATCCCATGATTCAAGGAGTGACCATGCCGTCTCTCTACCATTTAAGAACTTCTTCCAGCCACGAAGAAGAGGGTCAACGGGTTGATCAGTTCACCAGTTTAGAACTTCTGCCAACTACGAAGAAGAAGTTCAGTTGTTTCTCAGCCATCTAGCGATTCGCTCATCGTTGAATCAGCTAATTGAAGTACTAGCTCTCGACTCCCACAAGAGTCGACGACAAGCTCTTTGCATAACCTTTGCACCGTAGCATCTCCTCTCAGTTTCGGGCCCTGATCGTCGCCGAACTCGGAGACTCAAACTCCATCAACCTGAGCTTCTACTGCCAAACCGTCCAAGGGAAGCAGACTCGATACGAGCAGCGAGCGAAGCATCCTGTAGCTACCGAAAGTCCTCATACTAAACAAGGAGGGCATTCCCTCCGCTTCTGTTGTAATTTTGATTTATTAGTTTGTAATAAGCCTTCTTATTAATACAAACGAAGTTCCCTGTTTTCGGGAGATCAAAATTTACACCCTACAGAAGATGGCGACCATAATAGGAGCAACTGTTTCTTCAAACGAAATGGTGGTAGCTCAGTTCGACGAAGTCTCTGTTGGGATTACTGTGGAGTCCTTAGAGATCGAGTTCGACCAAGCCAAGTACGAAGAGTACTTGTCTTCTTCCTCCTCTGGTGGCGATGCATCCCGCAAACGCCACGGAGTCGTGCGCCGAGGCCGACCTCAAACGGCCAAAGCCTCTGCACCTAAGGGTTCTACCCGAGTCTCATCAGGGGAACCCGCTCCCTCAAAATCGATCAAGGCCAAGCCAGAGATCGAGAATAAGGGACAAGGGCCTGTCAGATGGGTCGCCAAACGACCCCCGCAGACACCTGTCCCGGAGGAAACGCCGGTGCATTCCGGTACAGATTACACTACCACAGCCCACGCAGATGCTCTCCTCGATGGAAGAGCTGGCCAACAGCGACGGCAGACACTCGTCAAACAGGAGGCCCAAGCCTTTGTTTCACACAATGGCCTGAATTATTATACAGGCTCGAGAAACGTTAGGCGAGAGGGAAATTTGCCCGACATCGGTGTAGGCGTATAAAATTGTTTATAGATCCCTTAGCACAGCTCAGCACAAACCGACGAACCAACGAGGCGACGAGGTTAACAAATCGCACGCAAACAACGGAATAGATCCACTCGCGTGCAGAATCAAGCTAACGGGTTGAAGAGTCAACGAGTCATCCATCAAAGGGCAGACTCGGACGAATCACGATCGAATCAAGATCAGTTTCGGACTCGAACTCAGAAGTGGATTTACTGCAAAATCAGGAATCGGATTTACTACCAAATCAGGTCAATGATTCAAGTCCGGATAAATCAACCACAGAACCGGATCACGGACTGAACCGAAAACGCAAAACGACGAAACCCGACACCAAAGGGGGGGGTCGGCCAAAACCGAGCCACCTCAAGGTGGCTCGGCCAAGGCCGAGCCACCCTGAGGTGGCTCGGTGTGCCGGACCAGATCTGTGCGCGGGCACAGTTCAGAGAGCCTATAAATAGGTCCCCTTGGTTCATTTTTTAAAGGTTGGAACTTTGAGAGCTGAAACTCTGCCAAATTGAGAATTGAGCTTGGAGTTTTGAAGACTTGAGGACTTGAACATTCAGATATGGTTCTCGGCGAGCATCCACGTCACAAAAGGCAGGAGTTCGAGTGAGAGAGAGATCAGATCTGAGATCTACACGAGATCATACTCCGGATCAAAGCTTGGCCTTTGATCCCGAGAACTAAGGGCGATTATTTCCTTGGTGAATTAATCCCCCCCGGCTATTATTTCATTCGCGCGAAATAATACCCGTCAAATCGTATAGATCCGACCGGAAAGTTGTAATCTTTTTCTTTTTCTTTGATTTCATTGTAACCAGATCTAAAAAAGACCGGATCTTTTGTAACCAAAAAGCAATTACTTGAGATAACAATGAATTCAATGAAGGTAATTTTCACAGCGAACAATCTGGCGACCACAGTGAGAGCCACCGATCTCGCTGCCGAGATCGTCACGTCGCAGCCGCGGATCTCAATCCCGGTCGAGGAGGAGGTCGAGTATGAATTCGACCAGGCCAAGTTCGAGGAGTACATCTCATCCTCGTCCGGATCTATCTCCCCCCGCAAGTCCAAGAAGTTCTCCTCCAGGAGAAAAGCTCGTTGGTTTGAAGAAGTTCAGAATACCTGATGCCAAAGTCGCATCGGGTGAAGTTCCACCGACCTCCAACGAGGTCAAACCTGTTCTCGCCGACGTCTCTACTGTTGAAGGCGTTGTGACTCTCTTGAAGAGAGCCCGCCAGAGGCGACGTCAACGCCTTGCGCGGCAATTCGCCAAAGCGATGGAGTCCACGGACGGGGTCCGCTACAACGCGGATCTGAAGAACAGGAGAGGAAACCAGCCTCAACAATTGAAGAATGGCTGCTCCTCCAAGCCACCAACGAACGAATGGATCCGGGTCAAACGGAACCGTTCGACACTCGAAGAGAGGATTCACAAACACCGCGCATTGCTTGCACAAGCAAAAATCCTTGTGCAGAAGGCCGAGGAATTGGAGGGAGAAAGAGTGGCCAAGAAGCCGCCATCAACCCGCCAAGTGTGGAGGCCGAAACAGCCTCTAACCAAAGTTCAACCTCCGGTGAATCAACCAAAGTCGCCGGTAATCCCAATAGCTTCTCCGGGAGATCATGCAGAATCATCCCGAAGGAAAAAGTCAGTCTTGGAGCGCCTCGGTCCGATTCCCGACGAGAGAGGCAAAGCTCCTGTTCAAGATCGTTTGGGCCCGATGAAGAAGCCCCGGACGACGCAACATGATGGGGGTCGCCGTCACCTCCAACATGACAAAGAGACCAGGGCAGTCATGCGCACCAACTTGCGCATTGAAGTCCAGGAGCCCGCCGAGAACTCACGCCCAAAAAGGCATGTTTCGAGACGCGTGACTTTCGAAAGCCCAAAGAAGGCAGTTCACCCTCAGAAGGAAATATTACCGTCTGATGACGATAATGTTATACCTTAGAAGTCGTGCCAACACACGATAGGTCAAGCAGACGAATTGTACTATCGTGTTGGGGGTACGAGTAAAACCAGGAAGAGGAGTCCCCGAGAACAGGAAACTCAATGCCCCTGTTCCAAACTTATTCAGGCAGTATTGTCTGAATGCGACTGCATCAAGGCGGTCCCCGAAAGAGTTTCGGTTTTCGAAAGACTTAGTACCGAAACGCCAAAACCAAGGCCTAGGCGTTTCCGATGAAGAAGAATGGTGGTTAAAAATGGAGAATTTCCGTGTGTCACCACCAATATGACCAGCAAGGGGACATCGGCACGGGATAATCTCGAGTCGATTCTGAAAGCATCCCGGCCTAGAACCCGTCTGCAGTCCGGAACCATCAAGCGAGCAACCTATGGTAGGGTTCGGACAAGACTCCCTTCAGAAGATGAAGAATCTGATGTCGGCTCCACGGTTGCATCTGATAATACGGTATCCAGCGAGGGACAATCCCGCGAGGCACTTATGATAAGTGCGGAGCAAGTGGCCAAAATGCTTGAAGACGCCTTAGCTAAGCAACAGGAAACCTTCAGGTTCGAAATGCAGATGGCCATGCAAAACATGAGAGAAATGCATGACCAACAAATCCTGGCATTGACGAACCAGCAAGGCGAGCCAAGTCGTCGTAGCCCGGTTAATCTAGAAGATGAGGACACAAATGCGAATGAGACGCATAATGCCAATAATCCTCCCATCAATGCAGGGGGTGGTAATGAGAATGCTAATGAAAACACAGGTGAAAACTTGAAGATTAAAAATCTCGAGAGCAAAATCAACACGTTGATTTCCGCTCAAGAAATGAAGAAAATAGGCATTCATTGTCCATACCCAAGAGAGTGGGAATCAATCCCATATACGGCAAAGTTCAACCTAATTAACTTCACGCCGTTTAATGGGATGGGTTCGCCCACTCAACATTTGATTTACTTCAAATCACACTTGGGGGTAATCTCCGGCAATGAGCCTCTGATGGTGCGGTCAT